CGCCTCCTCGGCGTTTCTCTTCTTCCTTTCCTCCCACTGTTTTTCTCCCTTGAGGCCCTGGTCAACCACTTGGGCGAAAGTCATGTCAGGCAATTGTGTTGCCCTCTCACGTATCTCCAAGTCTAGAGCATCCCAAAAGTGGTTCACCATCCGGTTCTCGTCACATATGTACTCAGGTATGAATTCGGCAAGCTTTCTGAACTTGTGCTCAAGTTCCTTCACCGTGCATGCGCCCCCTTGGGTCAAGTTTGTATACTCTCTCCTCTTCATATTCACCTCGAAGTCAGAGTAGTATTGGCTGAAGAACTCTTGCCGAAAATTCTCCCAAGTGACGGCCTCGCCGTATTTTCCTTTAACTCCATCCCACCACGTGGATGCCATGCCTTCAAGCAATCTTGTTGCCACTCTCATCTTCATGTGTGGTGGCAGCTGCATGTCAAGGGCCGCTTCGTTGAATCTTTTGATCCATTCGGCCGCAACGGAGATGTCTCCCGTTCCATCAAACGGTTTACATCCCAAATCTCTCGCTTCTTTGATGAATTTGGAGATCCTGATGGTTGGACCTCCATCAAATTGGCCTCCATGTGGTTCAACATGAACTCTAGAAGCACCATGACTTCCTCTTATTGAAGCCATGCCCGAAGGTTGCCCCGCTCGGCGCCTTCGGCGTTGTCTCCTCTCCTCCCGCTCTCGGTGGTATTGTTGGAGCAGCGCCTCAATTCTTGCCAAGGAGTCATTCTCCTCCTCGTCACTAACGTCATCATCCTCCCCTTCATAAGGGGTCTCTACCGGCTCAGTTTCCGGCCGATAGGTCAAGTCCTCTTCGGACTCGTACTGCTCATCAATCGTTTCCACATGACCGTCGTTCACGGTCAGTGAGTGGCCTGCACAGCCCTGTCCCCTGGACACTCTTGTGGACCCCCGGCTGCCGCGTTCGGACCCACCCGGTACACGGCCAGTCGGGTTCCTCCTAGTTATCTCCTCGGTACGTTCCATCTCTGAAAGCAATTGAGAATGAGTCATTAGACCCGTATCAAATGTCGAATGACGGATAGGCACCTAAAGACATCCTTTGGCTCAAATCACCGTCATACCAATTGTTAAGGGTACCATCTTAACAATTAGAGACCTTGCAACTTAAGTACCAAAAGTTCTCTAAGTACAAAACTTTATGCTCATGGTTTGCAAAATCATTTTCAAAAAGGATTTTGAAGCTTCATTATGAAGTTTACGGACTAAGGCTCTGATACCAACTTAATTGTCACGCCCCGGACCTACCGGACACGTCAACAACCCGCCGTACAGTACGAATAGTCAACCGCAGTCCAACTCATCCATACTATACTAGGCGTCTTGAATATCATTCACAATAGTACATCCATAAACAAACATAATGTAAAATAATCATTTAAATCAGCGGAAACGTTTAATACAAGTGTTTACGCCACACTTCGACAAACATGGGCATACAAGCCCCAAATAATTATTCAAAATAATATCCATGAGCATCGATTTTAAATGTTTAAAAAAAAACAGAGGCGGAGGAAGCACGAACCACGTCTTCCCTCCTGAATCTTCCCGAAACAACGGGCACCGGTAGCAAGCTCAACTCCTACCTGAAACTGTGAGGTGGCCTCCCCCGTGAAGGGGAGGTCAGTACTTGGAAGCATTTGACAAGTACAATGACAACTATACTAAGTATAATCAATGTTTCAATTTCCAAGACCCTCAAATAGGGTGATATAATAATATAGGTCGTAACCCGTGGTTACCCTCTTTGAAAATATACTTACTTTATATAAAGTCAAGTAGTCGGCCCGAAGACCCGTATGCATTTTGAAAGTCCATCCCCCTTTTCCCCCGTGACCATTTGTCACGAATGTCATAAACCTCTGGTAAATTTACTCATAGTCATTTGGGCATTTCCCTATTACATGGCATAAACATCACCGAGCCTCGCCCGGTTATACTATTGGGTCATGCTAGAGCCATGCTCTTAGTCTCACTACATCGTGCTAGAGCCTTGCTCCTAGTCTCCCTACATCATACTAGAGCCCCGCTCCTAATTTGTCTACATTGGCTAGAGCCCCGCTCTTAGTCCGTTTACATCATACTAGAGCCCCGCTCTTAGTTAATTTACATTGGCTAGAGCCCCGCTCTTAGTCCATCTACATTATACTAGAGCCCCGCTCTTAGTTAACTTACATTGGCTAGAGCCCCGCTCTTAGTCCATCTACATTATGCTAGAGCCCCGCTCTTAGTCACCATCCCTACATGCTAGAGCCCCGCTCTTAGTCATCATTTCGACATGCTAGAGCCCCGCTCGTAGTCGCGTTAATCAATCCCTAAGCAATTCCTATGCCTAGAATCGGTTTAGATTGAGTAGCCTTTAGGGCCTACTCCTATTATACTTAGAGCTTACACGTCTCGACCTTAAAGTATCTCTTAGGACTACTCAAGGTATAATTTCCTCACAACCCAACTCATTGGATTAATCTATTGTTTCTCATATTAACATCTCGGCTAGTATTTCAATACTAGTTGAATAAATTTTGAACAACCAAGTTCTTAACCCATAGACACATAGTGTATTTCAATTTATCTTCCAATTCAAATATAATTACTTCCCAATATCAAAATATCACTTTTACCCATTCATGAATTCTCTACATGACGCAAAGTATATTTTATCTCCATATTCTTAGTTCACTCAACTATCATTCCATCATATTCATAATCACGTATCCATACACACTTCCTTCGCAATTCGCATATAATACTTCAATTACTCATAAGCAATTGTATTTTCATTTAGGCATTATTACTCATTAATAATCCATGAAAATCACATTTAAATACTTTAGGTAATCTTATGAAATTAACCCAAAGATTATAAACAACATAGTCAGCCATCCTCACCTTATGAAGTGCTGGATTAGTTGCCTTTGATAAGCCCTTCGATCGATCCCCGTTCTAAACCGATCAAAAGCGAAATTCCTGGACAGTAGCCCAAAAGCCGGGCGGCTTTCACCAAAAGCCGGGCGGCTTTCGTAGTCTGCAACTACGAACAGTTTCTTCTCCTTGGCGGTTTCCGGTGGTTTCAACTCCTATTGGTTCCACGTCTCTCCTAAGTTAAATACCACCCCTATATAACATTATTCCACACTTTTAAACGTGTAGAACTCCATGTTCGATCCACCATATGATTTCTTAAAAATCATACAAACAATACTAGTTAAATAATAGAGGTGTATTCTTACCTCAAGAACAACCTTCTTTCTCCTTGGATTTTCTTCTTTCTTGTGCTTCTTCACGTTCAGAATCAGTGGGGAGAGTTTCCTGGAGCTTCCCTCTTCTTGTGGTTCGAATGGGCAATGGTAGGATGGGAGAGGAGTAGCCTTATCTCCCCAATCAATCCCAAGACAAGTCCAAGTAGAGGACATGGGATGAATAGACTTGTCTCCATGGTGTTTCCTCCCTCTTGCACGCACAAGTCAACATGTGTGGCTCCTCCTCCCTTATTTTTGAGTCATTTTAGTGTATAGAGTACACCAAGTGGGTGTAGGAAGTCCCTCCCAATTATTCCTGTCATTTTCGGTAGGTCGGGCCGAAATAGCACTCGGGTTGTCCAAATATTTTTATCAACTTCGGTTGGCGTTTTATTGGACTCCTATAATTATTATGATAACCCAACTAAATATTTGGTAGTCCATTCTCGTATGATGGACCCGATAAATAATTTAATCAATCACACATTAGTTAAATATGCCAATCAATTCCACGAATTTTATTCGTTAGGAAATGCAAATACATATCGTCTTTTAAATTTCAAGTACATTCGGGTGCGGTGTCACAGTAGAACTTCATAACGCTAGTTCAAGGTGAGTGGACGGCTTAATATCTTATAACTTTTGGGTTAATTATAAGATTACCTAAATAAATGTTATAAGTGTTCATAATGATGTTTAAAAGATATTTAAACATGTGGTTAGCCAACATAGATAAGTTTGTATGAAAGGAATTAATTGTTTATACATGAAACATGATATGAGAAATAATATGAAATGCATATTTGTTGGGAATGTAAAAGAAGCACAAATGATTATTATTAACTTAATTATATGATGATTAAGTTGATATGTACAAGGCTTGAATGGCGGTCAACGACAACGTTGACCGATGGATAATGGATTAATTAATATCGGTTGATATTAGTTAATTGTACATTTATATAATTGCATGGATTTGCATGAATTGTGATACATAAGTTTTATGTATTGAACTAGTTATGAATGACTAAGTATGATATAGACTCTATCTAGGTTGATAGGAGGTTGATCATAGGAAAACTTGGTGGAGGACCCTAGTACTTAAAAGTACTTAACACTCAAAACTTGGTGGAGGACCCTAGTACTTAAAAGTACTTAACACTCAAAACTTGGTGGAGGACCCTAGTACTTAAAAGTACTTAACACTCAAAACTTGGTGGAGGACCCTAGTACTTAAAAGTACTTAACACTCAAAACTTGGTGGAGGACCCTAGGACTTAAAAGTCCTTAACACTCAAACTTGGTGGAGGACCCTAGTACTTAAAAGTACTTAACACTCAAAACTTGGTGGAGGACCCTAGGACTTATGAGTCCTTAACACTCACAAACCAGTGGAGTACCCAAGGATTTTGATCCTAAAACTCATAGATTATGATATTGAAATAGGGACAAGGAGGAGTCCTATGCACTCATAGGTATATGGGTGGGTTGGGGTTTTTAGTCAAGAATATTGGCTATTACTATTTTTCCCAAATAAAACGGTGATCTACAGATCAGATATTTTCCAAGTATATATATACTAATAAGTATTTCATAACTTGGGGAAAAGACTATTTATTTAAGTATCACCCTATGTTTGGGTCTTATACTTGAAACGCTAGTTATTCTATATTTAGCCTGCTACTCGCTCGGTACTTGTACTGACCCTTCGGGGGGCCCCACCATTTTCAGGTTGAAGCTAGGGCTTGCTACTTGCACCTTCTCACGGGTGATATCAAATCAGGAAGACGTGGTTCGTGCTTCCTTATTTTCTTTCAAACTACCGAACACTTGCTCATGGATATTTGTTTTACTATAAACTATTTTTGGGGCTTGCATGCCCATGTTGTTGGCCGGTTGTGGCTCATGACTTACCGTTGAATATTTCCGCTATTCATTGGTTTAAATGTGATGTTGTTATGTATGTTTACTACTGAGTATGGATGGATTATTTTCTCGAACGCCTTGTGTAATTGAGTGAGGTTGACTCGCGGGTGACGTCACTCGATTATACGGCGGTTGTGCACGCGCTTGGATTGCGGTCTGGGGCGTGACAATTAAGTGGTATCAGAGCCATCTCAGTTCTAAACTATATAATCAACCTCTCACAAAAGATTTTGCAAAAGAGATTTTACCGAAAACCATGAGCATTGTATTTTGACGTCTATAGGACTATTGGTGCTTAAGTTGCAAGACCTCTAATTGTTAAGACGGTACCCTCAACAATTGGTATGGTGGTGACTTGGGCCAATACGTGTCTGTAACGTTCTTCCGTCAATTGACATTTATAGGAGTCTAATGACTCATCCATATTTCTTTCAGAAATGGAGGGCAAGCGAATGGCGACCAGGAACAATCCGAGGGGGCGGGCGCCGGTAGCATCCCAAAGGGGAAGCCGGGCTGCATCTCGGGGTTCAAGAGGAGGCCGTGGAGGCCGTGGAAGCCGTGGAGGTCATCAAGCTCAAACTGTGAGTGATGGCCATGTAAGCTCGGTGTATGAAACCAACACCGAGGACTATGACTCAACCTACGTTCCAGAAACGGAGCATGAGGAGACCCCGTATGATGGGGGGGACACATACACCGATGATGACGATGAGAGTGATGCCCGATTCGCCCAAATGGGTGAATTACTTGAGTGGTATCAAAAGGAGAAACTGAGGAGAGACCTTAGGCGCCAAGCGAGGCGTGGCTCTCGTGGTGGTTCGGGTCAAGGAAGCCGGGGAGCTTCCGTGGCCACCCCAGCGGCGTCACAAGGTGGGCGTGAAGGAGGTTTTGTTGTGAGAATCTCCAAGTACCTCAAGGAGGCTAGGGCCTTGGGGTGTAGGTCCTTTGACGGCACCGGTGACATTACCGTTGTCGCCGATTGGATTAAGAAGGTGAAGGATGCATCAAGAGACATGCAAATCACACCGGACGTGAAGTTGACTGTCGCTTCACGGCTACTTGAAGGGATAGCTTCTACGTGGTGGGAGAGCGTGGAAGGGAAGTACCATGGGGAAATAACATGGGCGGATTTTGAGCTAGAATTCTATGCTCAATACTACTCCGAGTACGAGGTGAATGTGAAACGGAGAGAGTACACTAACCTCAAACAGAAAGATGGCGGCACAGTTAAGCAGCTGGAACAAGAGTTTAGAACCTTGGCTAGGTTCTTGCCAGAGTACGCGGTTGATGAGAACCGCATGACGGAGCACTTTTGGGATGCCTTACTCTTGGACATCCGTGATCGGGCTACGTACTCGTGCCACATGACCTTTAGCGAGGTGGTGGAGCAGGGCCTTCTTGGGGAGGCCCAATGGAATGAAAGAAAAGAGAGAGACGCCGAAGAGGCGAAAAAGAGGAAATGGCATGGTTCGGGGCCGCCCGAGCAAGCACGGAAAGATAAACACGGTGGGGGTGGTGGTTCGTTCAAGACACCGGCACCACCGGCAAAGAAGAACAGGGATGCTCGGTGGCATGCATCCTCCTCCCAAAGGACGGGGCCTCCAAAGTGTGCCAATTGCTCGAAAAATCATTTTGGGAAGTGCAATGCACCCCCTAGGTGTTATCAATGCGGGAACACGGGCCACATGAAGGCCAATTGCCCGCAACTAGGGGGAGGAGGAGCTCCGGGAACCGGAGGAGGGACTACGACGGGGAGGAACCGTGAGGGACCGTCAAACAGCGGCACGGGAAGAGGTGGCGTTTCAACAAGCCATGCCGCGTCCGTAAATCAAGGCGGGGCCCAAACAAGGGTCTACGCGATGACCGAGGCGGATGCGCGAGCAAACCCGGACTCCGTCGCAGGTAATACACTTATTCTGGGCATTTCTAGGCTTACTTTGATCATATACGTCGTTGGGATTGAGTGCGGGCCACCCCGGGGTCAACCCGGGTGAGTTAAGCCAAATCAGGCTTAAAACAGCCACTGCCGGCCAGGCACGCCCTCAGGCACGCCGTGCGTGGCACCGTGCCTGGGAGGCAGTGGCTCTCCAACGAAATTCGGCCAGGCACGCTCTCAGGCACGCCGTGCGTGGCACCGTGCCTGGGAGGCAGTGGCTCTCCAACGAATTTCGGCCAGGCACGCCGTGCGTGGCACCGTGCCTGGGAGGCAGTGGCTCTCCAAGGGAATTCGGCCAGGCACGCCCGCAGGCACACCGTGCGTGCCACCCAGGCACGCCGTGCGTGGACCCCTGGCAGCCGAAAACTTATTTTTTCGCTCCGTTCTTCTACGTTTGGACCCCCGTTTGATTCCAAACATTAGTATGAACCTAATAACCCCCCAAAAGTGTGTGAATACATTAGAAAAGGTATCTTACATGGTGTATAAATGTAGGAACATTAAAGATCAATGGTAGGTGTGCGAGGATCCTCATCGATACCAGGGCACAACGCTCATTTGTGAGTGAGGCGTTCGCCGAGGGCCTTGACGTGCCATTGACGCTCATGACGCAAACATTGATAGTCTCCACACCGTTAGGAGACGATGTGGAGAGAAATCATTACTATCCATCATGTGAGGTGGAAGTGACGGGTCAACCCTTGACTTGTGATTTCGTACCTCTAAGCATGTTGGAGTTCGATGCAATCCTAGGAATGGATTGGCTTGAGAAGCACCATGCTCGAGTAGATTGCTACACCAAGGTGTTGGAGCTCGAGGATGATCAAGGAAACACGCTATGTTTCGAAGGAGATCGGGGGAAATCTAATGCTTGCATCATATCCGTGATGAGAGCACGGAAGATGATGAGAAAGGGGTGCCACGCATACCTTGCTTACGTGTTGGACGATACAAAGAAAGAAGTTGACATCAAGGATGTACGAGTCGTGTGCAAGTACCCGGATGTCTTTCCCAAAGACCTACCGGGGCTTCCACCCGATAGAGAGATCGAATTTGTAATTGAAGTGGAGCCGGGAACCAAACCCATTTCGATTCCCCCTTATCGAATGGCACCGGCCGAACTTCAAGAGTTGAAGGTCCAACTACAAGAATTATTGGACAACGGATTCATCAGACCCAGTCATTCACCGTGGGGGGCACCCGTACTCTTCGTGAAGAAGAAGGATGGTACACTAAGAATGTGTATTGACTACCGACAGTTGAACAAGGTCACAATCAAGAACAGGTATCCCTTACCGAGGATTGATGACTTGTTTGATCAACTTCGGGGGGCAATAGTGTTCTCGAAGATTGATTTGAGGTCGGGGTATCATCAGTTGAAGATCAAGGAGAGCGACATACCTAAGAGTGCATTCCGCACTAGGTATGGTCATTACGAGTTCCTTGTGATGTCATTTGGTTTAACCAACGCACCGGCGGCATTCATGGACTTGATGAACCGGGTGTTTAGTGAATACTTAGATCAATTTGTGATAGTATTCATTGATGATATCTTGATATACTCCAAGAGTGAGGAGGAGCACGAACATCATTTGGGGCTTATACTTGATCGGCTAAGGGAAAAGCAACTCTTTGCCAAGTTCTCTAAATGCGAATTTTGGCTCAAGGAGATGGGTTTTCTCGGTCACGTCATATCCGGTTCGGGCGTAGCTGTGGATAACGCCAAGATAAAAGCTATCATGGATTGGGAGAGACCCAAGAATGTGAAAGAGATACGTAGTTTCCTTGGCTTAGCGGGATACTATCGTAAATTTGTTGAAAAATTCTCCGTATTGGCGTCTCCATTAACGAAGCTCACAAAGAAAGGGGCCAAGTTCATATGGGACGACAAGTGTGAGAAAGGGTTCCTTGAACTGAAGAAACGACTTACCGAAGCACCAGTCCTTGCCCTACCCATACAAGGGATAGGGTATGATATCTACAGCGATGCTAGCATCCAAGGGCTTGGATGTGTACTAATGCAAAACGGTAAAGTGATTGCCTATGCTTCTAGGCAATTGAGGAAACACGAGGTGAACTACCCTACCCACGATCTAGAGCTGGGGGCGGTTGTGTTTGCATTGAAGATTTGGAGGCATTATCTCTACGGGGAGACGTGTCACATTTACACTGATCATAAGAGCTTGAAGTATGTATTCACTCAGAAAGAGTTGAATATGAGACAGAGGAGATGGATGGAGTTGATCAAGGACTATGACTTGATCATCGACTATCATCCCGGAAAGGCCAATGTAGTGGCCGACGCACTGAGCAGGAAGAGTACGTCAGGGACGTTACTTACTTGTCTGCAGGCATTGAGGGCACGCGTGGAGGTGTCCACATGCGGGGCTCTCATTGCTCAATTTGAGGTTAGGCCCACCCTATTGGGCGAGATTAGTCGAAGTCAGGCCATTGATGAGGAGTGTCAGAAGATCCGTGAAAGGATCCTTGAAGGACCCGTTGAGAATTTTCGGGTACGTGATGACGGTCTTTTATTGTTTAAGGATCGTGAGTGCATACCAAGGAATGAGGAACTCCAGAAATCTATACTTGAGGAGGCTCATTCTTCAGCTTATGCTATGCATCCAGGAGGTACTAAGATGTACCGAGATTTGAAGGAAAGTTACTGGTGGTCAAGTATGAAGAGAGACATTGCTGAGTATGTGAGTCGATGCCTTACTTGCCAGCAAGTTAAGGCAGAACACCAGCACCCGGCAGGGCTTTTGCAGCCACTCACCATCCCAGAGTGGAAGTGGGAGCATGTGACCATGGACTTCGTGGTGGGGCTACCATGAACGGTGAACAACTATGATGCAGTTTGGGTAGTGGTTGATAGGCTCACCAAGAGTGCACACTTTTTGCCTATCAACATTACTTATCCTCTTGAAAGATTGACCAAGCTATACACGGAGGAGATTGTGAGATTACATGGAGTCCCAATATCCATTGTCTCGGATAGGGATCCACGATTCACATCCCGATTTTGGCCAAAGTTTCAGGCATCTTTGGGAACTAAACTAAAGTTTAGCACAACCTTTCACCCACAGACGGATGGGCAGTCCGAGCGGGTGATACAGATTTTGGAAGATATGCTTAGGGCATGTGCTTTGGAGTTCCAAGGAAGTTGGGACAAGCATTTGGCCCTAGTGGAGTTTGCTTATAACAACAGTTATCAGGCAAGCATCGGCATGCCTCCATATGAGGCATTGTATGGGAGGAAATGCAGAACACCATTGTGTTGGGACGAAGTTGGCGAGGCCAAACTCGAAGGGATAGAACTGGTTGAGATCACCAAGGCTAAGGTGAGGATCATTCAGGATAGGCTGAGGGCTGCTCAGGACCGACAGAAGAGTTACGCTGACAAACGGCGGAGACCGTTGGAGTTCGAGGTCGGTGATGAGGTTTTTCTAAGGATTTCTCCTTGGAAGGGCATCATCCGATTTGTATCGAGGGGGAAGCTTAATCCCCGATACATTGGTCCATTTGAGATCCTTGAAAGGATTGGGGCCGTGGCGTACCGTGTGACACCGCACCCGAATGTATTTGAATTTGAAATTCGACTTGTATTTGAAATTCCTAGCAAATAAAATTCGTGGAATTTATTGGCATATTTAATTAATGTGCGATTAATTAAATTATTTATCGGGTCCATTATATGAGAACGGGCTACCAAATATTTAGCTGGGTCATCATAATAAATTATAGAAGCCCAATAAAATGCCAACCGAAGTTGATAAAAATATTTGGACAACCCGAGTGCTATTTTGACCCGACCGGCCTGAAATAGCGAGAATAATTGGGAGGGACTTCCTATACCCCATTTGGGGTTTTTCCTACAAGCTTTGTGGACTCAAAATGATGATTTGAGACAAGTAAACATGGGGAGGGGCGGACTCAATAGGAGATGGGATTGCACAAGACAAAACACCACTCCCATGACCATACTCTTCATTATTTTTTGATCTTGAGTAAGGATAGATACCTCCCCCTTCATTCTACACCATACACACAAGTCAAGGGAGAGAGAAGCATTGGGAGAAAGCTCTCACCTAGTCTGAACGTGGGAGAAGCAAGGAGCAAAGGAATCCCAAGAAGAAACTAGTTAGAAGGAAGGTAAGAACTCAAATAGTTCTTTAACTAGTATTATTTATGTATGATTTTTAAGAAATCATATGATGGATTAAACATGAAGTTCTACACGTTTAAAAGTGTAGAATAATGTTATAAAGTGGTGGTAATTAACTTAGAAGAGTCGTGGAATCGATAGGAGTTGAAATCGCCGGAAACCGCCAAGTATAGGAGGCTGTTCGTAGCTGCAGACCACGAAAGCCGCCCACCTTTCACGAAAGCCGCCCGGCTTTCGTCTGCTGCCCAGATTTTTCATCTCCAAACGGTTTAGAACGGGGATTGATCGAAGGGCTTAACAAGGACAACTATTTCAGCACTTCATAAGGTGAGGATGGCTGACTATGTTGTTTATAATCTTTGGGTTAATTTCGTAAGATTACCTAAAGTAATTAAATGTTATTTTCATGGATTATTAATGATTAATAGTGCCTAAATGAAAATATTGTTGTCAATGAATAAAGGAGCATAATATACAAATTTAAGGATAAATTGTGTATGATTATGTAATATGAGTATATTGGCTTGATGAAGGGATTAACTATGAATATTATGTTGAAATATAATTTTAACTTCATATAAGGATATATGAGTGATTAAAGATTATATTTTGTATATTGATATGAACTATATTTTCAATGGAAAATTAGTTTGAGAATTGTCTATATGACTATGAACTGAAATGAGATTTTGTTGGAATTTATCCGACTAGTATAATGATACTAGTCGGGGTTTTGGAATGAAATATGTTAGAATTGATCCAAGGTTTTGGATTGTAAATTGTTGAGCCTTAAGTAGTCTT